GAGGACCGGGCAGCCGAGAGGGCCCGTAACGAAAGCAGACCTCGGGCTTCCCACCTCTTGCTCCTAAACTTCTTGGTGTCAACTTCCGTTTCTGTTTCTTTTCAAGTGAATTATTGTTTTTAACTGAAGGAAGTTGTAGACATCAAAAAAAAAAAAAAAAGAAGGTCGTTAAAATGTTTACACAGAAAATAGGTACTTTCAGTGTTCAAAATGAACTGTCCAAAGTATGGAATCCGAGTACTATAAAAAGGATGAATTTTAAGGAAAATAGTCTTTTCCCAACTTATCCCCGATTGTTAGTGTTACAGGGAGTTTTCAGTCTGTGTAATTAGCTTCATTTTTGATGAGTGAAAAGGAGAATATGTATGTTTTTCTATTTGGAAAATAATTTTAGTAAGTTCCTAGGTGCTAGAGTCGAAATGTAAAATCCTACCCCTTATCTTAACGTTAATAGGTATCAAACAGTTACATGCTAGTCCCTGCTGTTAGTGAAGTCTGTTTATTCCCTTACTTAATCCTTGCATCAGCCACCTGACTTCAGAGGCAGAGGGGCTTTAACACAGGGCTGGTGGAGGGAGGGAGGGCAGTTCCCTGTGAGACTCCAGGCAGCCCACTGTGTGCCTCTTCATTCTCTTTAGAAGGTTTTTTATTCTAATACATAGTAAGAGTGGTAGTGTTAGGAGCTACATTACCTTGATTTACAAAAAATATGACTTTTAAGTGGCTAGACTTGCAGTCGTCTGTCCCATTTACATTGCTCAAAATGTAATCTGGAGCCTGAGCCTAAAACACACAAGGATGATAGCATGTGTGGAATATTTGTTCTGGGCTGGCTCCTCTTTGAGCATCAGCCAGAGACAGAGGCATGCTATCATTAAAGAGATTTTTTTTTTCTTTAAAAAAATGACTCAAGTAATATGTTAATAAAGTGTTTTAAAAGCATTTGATTACTCGTTTCATTAATGGAATAGCTGAACAACATATATATCCTGGATGAGCTGAGTTTCTTTTCTGCAGTGTAACAAAGAAAATGTGCTTAGATTTGCCAACCTGTGTTCAGTCCTTGTCTCCACAGTAGCTAATTAGAATTACACTCTTGTGGGCCAGTTGTAAGTTGGAGGATCCTATAACATTTATTGATTTTTTTTTTCCCAGTTCAAATAGGAAGTCCTGCTTTAATTTTAGAGTGGCTTCTACCCACCCAGTTGCTAAGAAAGGGAAGGTAGAATATATTTTAAAAATCATAGCTGAAATTTTTATTTTGTTTGAATTGAAGGTCCATTTTTAGTTTTATTCTGCTTCTTGCTTGTAACAAATTCTTTGCCCTGACAATTATTGTAGGAAATTAGTTTTCTAAATACATTAGTTAGAAATATGCTTTCTCTTGTGGAGTCTTAGGCAAACTGCAAAGATACACAATCATTCTTTGTTGTTGTGTTTTTCTTTAAATCATTCTTTTATTTTCTATTATTATTTTTCAATCATTTAAATGTACAGGATGATAATGAAGATAACTCAAATGATGGGACCCATCCATCTAAAAGGAGGCGAATGGGCTCAGGGGACAGCTCGAGAAGCTGCGAGACTTCAAGTCAGGATCTCAGGTACTACTACTTGAAGGGTCAGTAGTAGCTTTTGTAGACCATTTGGCCTCTTCTTCCCTAGGCATCAGGAGCAGTTATTAAAAATTATATTTATGGGCTGGAGAGATGGTTCAGCAGTTAAGAGTGCTGGATGCCCTTTCAGAGGACCTGAGTTTGGTTACTGGTACCTACATGGCTGCTCACATTGGCCTGTGAGCTCTAGAGGGTCTGATGTCCCATTCTGCCCTCCACAGATGTGTGTACACACACATTCACACAAAGCAAAAAATAAACAAAAACACATTCTAAGAAGAAAAAAAAAGCCATATAATATAATACCTAAGTAGGTCTTGTTCCTGAGCTGTTAAGAAGTTATGGTAAATTAGGTATGTAAGACTCACTGTTGTAGCACTTTCAAGTGTACAGTTAAGTGGTGTTAATTGCATTCACAGTGTTGTGCAACTATCACTATCATCCCTTTCCAAAACTTCAGTAACTCAAACGGCATAACCCTCCAGTACCTTCTATCCCTCCTGCCTCTAGCTGCTGGCCACTACAATTCTGCTCCCTGCCCCTGAGTGTGAACCCTACAGTACTTGCCCTGTGGTATCTGACTTATCCGTTAGCATAATGTCTACAGGGTTCATCTGTGATGGAGTTCATGTCAAAATTTCCTTCAGTCTGAACAATATCCCACTTTGTTTATTCATCTGTAGGCTGGGGTAATTAATGTGAACATTGGCATTCCTAATCCCTGCTTTTAATACCTTGGTACATAACTAGAAGTCAAAAGGTGTATCGTATGGTAATTCTGTATTTGGCTTTGTGAGGACCTTCCATATACTTTCATCGTAGTTGTACCATTCTGTATTCTCACCAACAGTACACAAAACTTCTAATTTCTTCATAACCTTGCAACATTATTTTTGTTTTTTTGTATGTTTGATGATAGCCCCACTGTGATTTTGTTTTGTATACCATGGTTAGTGATACTTGCTGAATATCTTCTTAGGTGCTTTTTGACTATTTGATCTATATTTTTGGAAACATCTGTTCAGAATGAATTAAAATCCTAACTATAAAAACTGCCTAGAAAACCTTGAGTTAGCAACAGAGTATTAGACATAACACCAAAAAACTAAAGTTTCAAAACAGGCAACTCAGACAACAGCAAAATTTTTAAAGCAGGGAAAAATGTGGTACTGTCAATTGTAGAGGAAAAAGAGCCATAGAATGCTAGAAAATATTTACAAATCATATATATGATAAAGGAATTAATATACAGAATGCATAGAGAAGTCCCCAACTCACCACAAAGAAGAAATGGGAAGCTTTTTTTTTATTTATTAATGAATAAATGCAAAAAAAACACTGTTGCACTCCTGACTCTCATAGACATTAGATGGTTCAGATTGAGGTGGTCATCATACTCCTTGAGATTTAGGATTACAGTTGTATACAGTATACTGGAACTTCCAGAATAGGTCT